TTGCAAGTTTCGTTATCAGCACATCCGGATAGGTTTTGTGTCTGATATTCACACTAAGCTTCTTTCTGATCATGTCAAAAAATATATTGTGGATTTCCTGCTTTTTTTTAGTGCCATAACCGTGTTTGGTGAGTATGTTAAATTGATCTGCGTCAACATTAACGTCGAAGTCCAAGTGATATCTCCCCTTGCTGAATTCATAAAATTTTTTTCCAAACAATAATTGTTTATTTCGTTCTCCTGACAGTCCTACATAAGTTACAGCATCGTTTGTCAGTGATTTGACCAACAAAATTTCCTGTACTATCAAGAAATTGGTAAGACTTGTGTATTTTGCTAACGTGCATTGATATGCTGTTTTGATTGTGTCGCGGATCGATCCGAATTTTTCCATTGCTCTTACGTCAGCTTCCACCTTTTGCGCAAATTCTTCCACAGCGGTCCCAACGTGAAAAGGGGTTTTTGAGCCATCATCATTTTCTTTGAGGATGTATTGGTCCATAGTTGTGCCCAATTCCTTAATGTGGGTTTGGCCGTTCAACATTTTTTTTAGTTCAAACCAATTCAAATTGTCAAACGTAGACGATCTGCAATAAACGCCGAAAAGACATAACAAAATGACACTAAAACGACTGAACATATTGTTAATATTTTAGTGACGTTAGATACTTGCTATAGCTCAAGAAACACTAAAACGTTTATGACCCTCGGTTCAGCCTGTAACTTCTTCGGAAAATCCATGCAGGTAAACGGTGTTAGCATAACCGTCGGTGTATGTTCTTTAGTTGTTTACATTTCTTTGTGTACATGTTCAGTGAATGAAATTTGCACGTATAATAGATTTCTCCTAAGTCAGCATTTTATGAATATGGATTTAGTTTTAGTTGTCCGCTATGTAGAGAAAATGTCAAAATTAATTAATAATATACACATAATTGTAAAAACAAGAGCCTCTCAGCTCCTTGTCGAATCAAATATCTACGTACCAACAGACTTAGAGTATTCTTAAAAACGTCCATTCGTCTGTAACGTTATAGTTTCGATGGTGAGCTGAGAAGGTATTGTTCTTACAATGATGTGTTTTTATTTTTTTTTTGTGTCTGGACCCACGGTATCTCGTAAACCGCTTAACCGATTTCTTCGTGTAGCAACTCTATAGATCAAACATCATACCTGAAAGGTACTTTATAAGGCCATAAATTTAAAAAATTCACCCCTTCCTCATTAAAATCGAGAAAAACACCCTTACTCATTGCAACCTACAAACCTACTACCATGACATCATAATTCCCCCCTTTAGTTAGGTTTTTCTCTAATAAAACAAAGCTTCACTACAGATTTTTAAGTAAATTTTACGTGCCCCATTCTAGAAAAAACTTATGGTTTACTAAGTAAACACAACTTTTTTTTTTTAATGAGTAAAAACTATACTAAAGCTATAATCAATATCGAAAGTCGTTTCATAGTCTTCCAAACGCCAGTAGTTAGAACCGCGTGTCTTAAAAATTTACAGAGTCATACCAATTAAAAAAAAAAAACAGTACATATTGGAAAAACAATTTATAAAAACTATCACTGTGTCTTAAATCAGGATGTGTGATGAAGTTTTTTGCGGTTTGACAATCAAACGAAGCAGATACTGTTAATTTTAAAATGTCGATAGTGTTTTAAAAATGTATTTAAACAGCGAAAATTGTAATACAAATAATTAGGAAAGATAAACGAAAGAAGTTAAGACGAAAACAATTGCTGGTTGATAAAATAATTTTCATAAGAAAGGCATAAAATTGTTAATGTGACATTGCCGCCGATAGTGTATTTTATTTAGTAGAATTGTGAAACAGGTATTGATAAAAGCACTGCGAAGGCAATAATGCACTTAAAACTAGCCTATAATTATTGCATACAATTAGTACGAATCATGTTTTTGAAGAAATTCAATTTAAAGATTACACCTGCTCCCAAATGATTAATTTTAGAACTTGGCAATTATTTTTGCTACCAGATGCTTGTTGTTTTAATTTTAAGCTACTTAGTTAAATCTCAGCCAGACACCAGAATTTTTAGGTGACAGCTATTTATGCCCACACCACCTTTACCCAAATGACGGTACTAGTTATCATAAAATTTAAATTATAACCTAATTCTATATTATTGTAGCGAGTGACGATGTTATAGAAAATTGGCAAGTCAAATTTAACCAGTATGACGATAATAAGGATGTTTAATCTCTAAGGGTTTTTCAGAAACTATTATTCGAAGTCAATTGGTATCCATACTAGATATATTTAATTCTTGTTAAAGCGACCCAACAATGTTCTGCGTTCATATCGTTATACAATCGGTTGACATAAATATTTTCTGGAGATGATCAAATTATATTCAAAAAATGTAATAAATTCTAACCGCTAATGACGGTTTTTATTTTTTTTGCATTTTTCCATAATTTTGAATTTTTTTACTTATTTCCTTTACCTTTTGTTTTGTGTATTAAATTAAAATTTACGCTTTTTAATGATTTACTGTTACAACTTTTAGTAAGTTACATAAAAAAAATGTAGGTACTACATTTCACAATTTGCCTATAATATAATATATTTTGTCCCAAGACGTATAAATTTGTATTTGTGAATCGTCAGCCGTAGCAGCTGAATCGCAAAAAAAAAAAAAGAAGACTCACGTCAAAAGTATACTTTAACAACTGTCAACTGGGGCTACCGTTCGTTCGACTGTTTATGACAAATTTCAATATTTTACATAATTATAGTTAGGTACTTTTGGTAGTTAGCATAAAAAAAATAATCGAAATAACAAATGCTAAAGATTTCTCTGTATTTTCGGCAAAATATTTTTTATTTAAAAAGAAAATCAAGCGTATAAGTTTGCATTTAAATTTAAAAAGTCCAACTTTTTTTTAGACCCCCAGAAAAAATACTAAACGTTTTCCACCGTTATTTGGCTACGTTGGTTTACTTTGACTACTTTTTGCTCAACTATGATGAAAACAAAATAATTTATCGTTGTAAAACATACGCCTTAAATCATTATACAAGTACCTTAAAATTTGCTACTAAAACGTGGAATTCTTGTAGTTTTGGTGATTGGAGACAAAGCAGTTTGTGTAAAAAAATGTTTTCAAAAAAATCAGCCATTTTTCAGCCGAGTCTGCAACCACGATAGAGCATTTTCATATCTAGTTGAAGTACCGAATAAATTTAGATTAGTTGTGGAATTATTAGTTAAAAAAAAAAAATTACATGGAACTTCCAGTTACAGCACAAGCCAAGGAGATTAAAAATGTATGTACAATCAAGTTTCTGGTTAAAATTGTAGTGTTTATTATCTGGCCAAAAGTAACTTAACGTAGAGAATTAAACTGTTTTAAATGTATTATTCATTTCTATTATGAACGTACAACATATCTTATCTTATCTCATACCAGATAACAGCGTAACACGTTTTTTGGTAACACTTTTTTTCGGTTATGTACCGGCTAATTCTCACCCCCAACCGCAACCCCATTCCCACCCCTCACCTCATCTCCGTGTGGTAACGCTTTTTCCGGTTATGTGCCAGAGCTAAGACATGAAAATGTCAAAAAAAAAAAATAAGCGTATTATCATTAATGTATCTTCCTGTATATAATATATACTATATACATATATATATATAAAAGGCTTTTGTGAGACTCCGTTGATCTGTGGCTCGTCTTGACCTAAAATGAGGCCCCTAATTTTTTTAACATGGATATGTCATTGGGCAGGGGGTCAATTGGAAAATCTGTGCGAACGCTGAACGTTATATATATATATATATATATATATAGATATCGCGTTTTTAATTGTAATTTTGTGTTTATTGAGTTTGGCTAACGTGTGGGAACAACTGACGGTTGGTTTTTATTCAAATAATCGGTGATCAATTGCATTTTTTAAATCTAATTAGATTTAATTGTTCAAACAAGGGGTATTATCAACACATTTTTTATGAACTCATAAAAATGCATTATAAATGTGTATAATTTTCAGCGGCCAAGATAAATAGCTCCATAGCTTAATTTTTCACCACTCGAGTGCACTAAGTACATTGGCAAATGCACTTACATATATTGTTTCAAATAACTTTAACTGCCTGTCCTGAAAAATGTCATTTTATGGAGTTAATCAGTTTGGCTTCTGAGTGCCTCATATATAAAAACAATCACATATTTTTAAGACAATAGCCTTTTTTTACAGCGTTTTAGAGCTCAAGGTACTTACATACGTATAAACAATTCTAGCATGTTACTAATTTTCTGTCTTATTATATATTATTGTATACAGGTCTATTTATATTTTAGTATTTATGATTTAAAATAAAAACACAGCTCAGGAAGGTCGGAACCCAGGGGAAAACAATTCGAAGTAAAACTGCAATTAAAATTCTTAGTTTGTTTAAAATATCACAGTTTTTTGTTTTTATGACAGATCATCTGTTAGTACTATGTTTAAAGAATAGTCATACAAAAATGGAACTAGTTCGACTGTTTATTTTAAAAAAAGTTTTAGACATTCGTTTTTTTAATTTGATAAAAAAATTAATTTTTTTAGAGGATTTTCTCAAATTTTGATGGGTAAGGGGAGAATTGTTTAAACTTTTGGTTTAGTATCTATCAGGTACAATTTCTGATCTATAGAGATGGGCCCAGACACAAAAGTGAAAAATAAAAACTCCTCATTATCCAAACCTCGTAAATTTTAAGCTAACCAGACTCAACCATTTGCTGATTTGGGCATAGTAATACATTTTAAAACGGTTTAAATAATAGGAATTCATTGATAAAAGTATCTAGTTTTAAGGAGCCAACAAAGTTAGGGTTCGCCGAGTTAGGGTTGTTTTGATTGTTTTAATATTTAACGGGTCTAAACTCAGTAAAACATCTTTTTATTTGCAACTGTGCTGTTACAGAAGACCACTTTTAAGGTTATTTTGAAATTATTATTTAAGAAAAAAACAAAATCTCAGAATTTGAATAGTAAATATATTGTGCAATAATTTCTGTAATACATTTTAGATTCGATAAATATTTGTGACATGTCAATGTAAGATTTTGATATAAGAACCCTTTTTCACAGTGTTGGTTTTTGGAGTCCTGAAAAAAACGTACAAAAAATATTAAAAATGGATATGAATTTGGTTTTTGGTTGTTCTTGAAAAGGTAATAAAATATTTGAACATGTTTCTACTAAGCAAATTTATGAAAACTAATTTAAGAAAACGTTAAACTTTTAAGAAGCCAGTAAAAGTAGATCAGAGTAAGTTAGGTATGTTTAAAATGGTTTAAAGCGTCCAAATTTGATAAGACATACCGTTAGCCAATAACTATTGATAAGGTTGTTTTGAACATATATTAAGAAAAATAAATAATAGGTTGCATACCTTGTTACATTATTGTACAATTATTTATGTAATCGTCTCAGCCACGCTGAAAAAAAAAATATATAACAAATGTTAAAAGTGAATATAAGTTTCGTTGGTTTCTGGTAAAATTCATACGGATATTTTACTATTAAAATTTCCTTTAGCAGAGTAATTGCGTTTGTTGATAGACAACTTAAAAATGCACGTCCTTAGCGGTTACTAGGTAGTACTTTATCATTTTCATTCTGTGTAAATAGAACGTGGTCGTTCTGATACAGTGCTGCTTAATATCAATTCATTATACTTACAGAACTGCTGGGTTGTTCTGTACTCGTAGTTCCTGGAAAAGAATGATGTGTATCCAAAATTCCTGGAAAATCATCAACTGGACCCATAGTTCTTGGTTGAGGATGATCTATATCCGTAGTTCTTGGATCGCGAATCGATACCATAGCTATACTTACCTCGCTTTGCGGCTCCTTGGCGGTTTCTACAATTTTGTATTTAGTTTCGGATTGTCTAAAACACAATAATAATAAATTCGTTATCATAGTAGGTCTCTTAAAATATTTTATAAAATTAAAATATACGAATTTGATAGTCTAATTCTTTGAAATAATAGTAACTTAAATGTCTCCAACGAAAAATATCTAACACTTGAATTCATGTTTCGAAAAAATCACTATTTGGTCCAATTTAAAAATATAGATTGTACAGGAGAAGAACAAATTTGGAGGTGCATCAAATTTAACAAAACCTATAATAATATATGCACACCTCATGAGTAATGAGCAATCGACTCGATTAATTTAGTCATGTGATAAAGTCTAAGCTTCGTTCAAATCTAAGACGATTTAATCGAATAATATTTTTCATTCGACCAAACCGAAGATAAATTATTCAAATAATTTTAATTATTCCATAAATTAAGATGATTTATAAAACAACAATGAAGTTTTTTTAATTATGTCAAAAATAAATAATTTAACCAAATAAATTAATTTCATCATTTTGTTTTCAACGAATTATTTAAATGAGCAAATTTGTGTTCAGTCATTTATTTTTCGACGGACATTCAAAAATAAAATAAAATTTAATATTTTTTTTTAGATATAAAACGTTCTAAATAATGTCCAACTCTGGTCTTAGATCGATCACTCCTAGAGACTATTAGTATAATAACGTATCCAAATGCAACTATCTCGCTTTTGCACTTGTAGTCTCTATTATTTAGCTATACTCTCTTAATTTTTTAATGCATTTTAACGATAAGGATCGATAACAAGTTAGGTATCCCATATTATACTAGCGTGCAATAATGTTCAATGTCATACCGGTTTGCGGTTTGGCCGTAAATTGCCGTCGGGTTGGTAGTATTTGGCAAATCCCATTTATAACCAGCAACGTTGATTTCCAAATTCTTTACGAAGCAGCCCGAAGCCTTCACTGGGCTATCATTTGGCGGGATAGGGTTTGTAAAATCATGGTACAACCGCACAGCACGTCTGTCCTTCAGTTCATCGAATTGCGCTAGAAGCCACATTAAATCTCCGTCGAGGCCTGTTTTTAGAGATTCGAAATTCTTCACAAAATTTCCCTCGTGTTGTACGCACTTGTCTACGATGAAATTGTCGAGCAGTATAATCGACTCGTTGAGAACACAAATGAATTTGTTGAGAAGATCTATACGTTCTCTCCTATATTGGTTTCTAAACGTCGCTTTTATCACATCCGGATAGATGTTGTGCTTGATATTCACACCGAGCGTCTTGCCGATCATGGCCGCCAAAATATTGTGGATTTCCTGCGATTTTCTAGTGCTTAAATCGTGCTTGGTGAATAGCTGAAATGGCTCTTCCTCGACGTTAACGTCGTAGTCCAAGTGATATTTCCCGTGGCTAAATTTGTGAAAATATCCTCTATACATTATATCTCTTTTTTCTGGTCCAACCCATCGAGAGGATGGATGTTGTTTTACAAAATCTAAGGTATAGAGTGTCCTTGATCTGATTTGCCAAAAGTCCTGTAATAACAAGAAAGTGGCAAGACTTGCGTACTTCGCTAACGTGCATTGATATGCTGTTTTGATTATGTCGCGGAGCGTTTCGAACGTATTTAGAGCACTGTCGTCAGCTCGCACTATTTCTGCATAGTCATTCACAGCCTCTTTAACTTTGTAAAAACCTTGTGAATCGTTGCCATGTTTGTAAATTAAATCTTGCTCCATAGCTGTTTCCCATTCCTTAATGCTGGATTGGCCGTTTATAATTTGCTTAAGGTCTTCCCATTTTATATTGTCGAACGTAGACGATATGCCATAAACGCCAGAAAGACACAACAAAATGACACTGAAATGACTGTGCATAGTGTTATTGGTTTAGTGACGTGCGATACTTGCTATAACTCAAGAAACACTAAAACGTTTTTAATCGTCGGCTCAACCTTTAACGTTTTTAAATGCCTGTAAAAACTAATCGCTTTGCATTGCCGTTGATTTATGTTTGTTAGTTGTTTACCTTCCTTCTTGTACAGTTTAAATAATTAAAAATTTGCAACTATATTAGAGTGCCTTTAGAGAAAGGTGGGAAAAAATTTACCATTGTATGATTTGTATACACAGATGTGGCCACACCAAAATTTTAACTGTTTGGGATTACACACGGTTTTTTCTTATAAACGTGTGACAAAAAAACGCGTTTTGAAAAAAAGTTTTAACAAGTCTGAGCAAAAAAATAAAATAAAATTTTGTTTTTTTTTGGTCACACTACTATTCTGTAAAGCCCATTTATTGAATATGATGTTTTAAAATTCGATAACATTTAACACTGTTCTACATATAAAAATAATATTATCTACTAATAATTGTTATTATTACCTAAGATTAGTCGAATCAACTATAACTTTATTAAAAATATAATAGACTATATCTCCGTAGAAAAAAAAACACTTTTTTTTTAAAATATGTAACAGCAGTTATTTATTTATTTAATATTCTTGTACGCCCCCCATTGTGTGATATTTATGATTATGTTGTATGTTATCATACTAAACGTTATCGTTCAATTATTATTACTCCGGTCCACTAACTTATTTAATGAAAACAATTTCAAATGCTTGTTGACAATTGACTCAATCACACATAGCATCCTAGAAATTGACTACGGTCGAAGTGTAATTTTTTCCATTTTTTTTTTTTTTAGTTTTCCTTAATAAAAAAAAGATTGACTACAGATTTTTGAGACAATTGTGTAATATGTTCAATTCTAGATCTACCTTAGGTCTAATTTCCATACCTAAATCGCTAAAATTTCAATTGAAAAAGTGAAATAAAGATAAGAAAAACTTATCACTTCTAAGGGAAAGGATTTATGATGATGTTTTTTAGGATTGTCAATATTAATTGGTAGTACTATGTTTTAAAACTGTTCCATACAAATTTGGAACTAATTCGACTAAAAATAAAAAATAAAAACACATCATTGTGATTTTTTTTAATTTTTGCCACAGGGCGGTACGTTTTATTAACGATTTGTTGATCTAAAGAGTTACTACACGAAGAAATCGGTTCAGCGGTTTAAAGGATATTGTGTTCAAATAATAAAAATAAGTTAAGACAATAGCATTATTGCAGTCTCTAAAGCGTTGAGCAAACTCATTAACAAATCTATACCAAAAATTAGTGCAAACTAATCACAAACAATACACGGGTGATAAGATCAACGAAAATAATATTTTATTCTTGTTAAATCGAGACAACAATATTCTGCATTGATAGCTTTATACAGTCAATTATCTAAAATATTTTCTGGGGACGGTCAAGTTATATAATAAAACAGTTCAACAAATCAGAACCGCTGATGGCTATTTAGAAAACAGTTTTTCGTGTTATCCCATCTTTTTTGAATTTTTCACTTATTCCCTTTGTCGAATAAACTTCTCATATAGTATTACCTACATTATAGGCTTGTTTCTTTTTTTTATCTACACAATTACACTATAGATCATTTTGAAATGATTTACTATGGTACAACTTTCTTTTTTTTCTCCTAATCGCATGGGTTGTCGTTACATGAAATATATAGTGTATACAGTAATGGTAATGAGATAACATATAATACAATTTATAGTAGATACGAGTAATAGTAGTTGAACACTACTAAGCTAACAGATTAAAAAAAATTGGTATCAACGTTGGTGCTTCTTTGTCTGGTGGCCCTGAAAGGGGCAGTTTTGAGATTAAATTGAGTTGCATGTAGCTAGGCCGGGAGACCGTTAGACCTATTACAAATAGTACCATTTTTATTAAGTTACATACGAAAATGTAGGTACTAAATTTTTCACTATTCGCCCGGTAAATATATTTTGTAGCATGGTAAGGTGCCGTGACGCATATTTTTTTATTTGTTTTGTCAGCCATCGCAGATGTATCGAAAAAAGAGTGTTGTCGAAATTATATGCTGTTCGACTTTTATTACAAAATTTCACTAAATTGCCCAATTTAAGTTTCAAAAGCAGATTGTATTCTGAAAAAAAAGTACAAAAAAAATAATATATTTAATGTGGGGCTTTGTATTAAAACCACCTACAATCACTACTTTATTGATAAAATAATTGAAAATAATTTTATTCCTATACTTGTAGGCACATATTTTACTATATTTTTCAATACTTTGAACATTTTCGACTTCATCGCTAATACGCTAAACAA